TTTAGGACATCTTGTCCTCAAGTTGTCAGTGTTTCCAAAGGTGGCCAGTTAATCAAAGGAAGCAAAGGAAAGAACTCCACTATTTTGAGTGGTTCCAAGGTTTAATCAGCATGAGTGTTCTTTATCGACAGCCCGAGTAACTTTATCTTCAAGGTATCTTATACCTCAGAAGCTTAGAGGAAATGGAAGTGAAACAAATTCAAATGTCCATCTAGGGGGCAGACAGTATACAATTTTGAGTCTTATCAGTTGTATTTGGAATTGTGCTTTCTCTGTGTTACCCATCCCTTCGTCTGCCTGCCCTCCTACCCCATTCTTCATCATTATGATTTCCTATTATCTGGCACCTAAATGTGAAGAATTCAGGAGCAATATAGACTTGGACTTTTTATATCTCTTTTCTACTTGGAAGTCTGAAGTCCTGACAAGTCTTCTTTAAAACAGAGTCAGTGACACTGACCTTGTTGACCTATATATGCACTCAATTTCTGGCTCATAATAACTGTTCACTGAGCATACATTCTTCCCCTGTCTCCTACATACCCTTATGACATATTAGAATTCTGCCCATCTGTTGGCTTGCTTCTGGTGTGGCCTGCCCTCAGCCCATTTTTAGATCAGCCAATGGGGCCATGACAAGCTAGAACCATTTTTCATCCAATTGGTCTCCTTCCAGCAGTTTCATATGGCCTCTTGCTGTAAATCACTCTGGGAAAATAAATGTCCCCAATCCATTAGCGACTTTCCGTCACAAGCCAATTTGAGCCACAAACTAGACAAGGCTTGTTAATGGCCACTTAAATACATTCCTACAGCCCAACCTGGAGACCTTCAGCCCGCCTCAGACCTTACCAGCTCCTTTTCAAAAGACATGATGGCAACAAGGTCACACGTCATCAGACCCTTGTCAGGTAGGATACCCTGGTTTGTCCAGAATCCTTCCAGTTTGCCCCTGCTATCCCAGGGTAATTATCAATCATTTTACTCTCAAAACCATTCTGAAAAGACTCTGTAAGGTAGTGATGTGATGTAAGCCAAAATTAATAGCTTAGACAGTAAGTCATTTATTAACCATTAATTGTATATATAGGTCTTGTGTGTTTTACCTTGTTTCAACTTCACTACAGTACTAATAAAGGGGGCATCACAATTATCCCCATTTTACAAACCAGTCCCAGTTTAGGTTTAGGGTAGCTAATCAGCAATGCTAACCAAGGAGTGAGATTCTATTTCATCTAGATCCCTTTTGTGGATATTGGCTACTCATAATTTCCTGGAGAACTGTGATCCATTGTATGAGAACCTCTGCTTAAGAGATTCCACGCTCCCATTAGCAGCCCAGCCAGTGACCAAAAGGCTTACCCTATTTCTTGCTCTTAGGAGGAACTGACTCTGCAGAGGGAGCCAATGGAGACCCTACCCTTGTTTAGCTCTCTCGGCCCTGGCCCACTTGCATTGCTCTCTTTGCCCTGAAAGGTCTTCCTCAGTAAACAGCTTGCAAAAGGCTCTCCGTACCAGTCTCTGGTTCCAAGGAGCCTGGTCCATGCTATCCAGTTAGCAAGGAAGGAGCTGAGCTAGAACTCAGGTTTGGCCGTCTTGATACCTCTACAGCTGTCGTCTTAATGTCCATGCTTTGAAGATGAACCCTGGGAAGCTTGGAGAAAATGAGACAAGCTCGCCAAGGTCACACAGAAGGAAGAGCAGAAGCTCAAGCATATACCCAGGTCCACCTTTCTTCAAAGGACACACATGCGTGCTCCCTCCCTCCCTCCTTCTCTCCCTCTCCCT